TGATATCTTTTGTGGTATTGCACTGGATATCTGCATCCTACCATATTAGGAAATGCAAATTCCAAATATGGAATTGTTACATGGTATTTCCAAGATGGTGGAAGTTCATGGTGAGAATGTTTCAATAATTTTCATCATTTTGCCCGGTTCTATGATGCAATAAGAAGAGGCCGAAGACGCTTATTCGATTTTATGTGATATTCTCAGATTAACAAAATAATAATTTTTTCCTTTTATTGAAAGAAAAAAAAGAATGCTACTGTATTCACTCTATTAGTAGTGCATACACTCAAGCGAACAAAAAAGATTTACCCATGGTCAATAGAAGTAATATTACAATAATTTGAAATACAATAATTTAAATTTTTTCCATATTTGGCAATTTGACTATTGTGGATGAAATTTCACCTTGAGGTCATCACACTCTAAATCTTCTCTCGGTTTACTCCATTCTTTCATGCGCTCCTCTCGAGCTCTTCTCTCTTCTTTTTTCTTCTCCCGCTCCTAAGTAATAACAAAAATGTGCGTGAGTACTAGCGCTCATAGATGGTTTACATACACTGTGGTTCAGAGAAAACAATACTAGAAAGCGATATCAATCTCGAAAATGATTTATGACAACGATACAGCAGCTTAATGCTTCAAATGTATTGATCAAAATTTGTTTAACGTACAGACAAAATAGCGACAATGTTATCATGACATGCACAAATACATACATTAATTAAATTTTCACAATATGGTAATTTGACAGCATTCTTTATATAGCCCAACAAATGGTCACTATAATAAAATCTCTTGATTTGTTAAATCTCAAAAATGTGTCCATCAAGAAAATAAAGTGTTTTACAGTACCTTGTCTCTTTCCAATTTCATTTTAATTCTCTCCTCTTCTCGCTCTTTCCTCGATTTTTCTTTCATTTCGGCTCGCTCAAGAGCCATTTTCTCCCTCACCACGGCCCTTTCTTGAGCTTTTTGCTCCTTGGCAGCCAGTCTCTGGGCTGCTTTTTCTTGAGCCACCTGATCTTTCAAAGCTGCCTTCTCTTCTGGAGTCAGACGTATTCCTGCCTTCTCCTTATTCTCCAAGTTTTCTTTACCTTGAAAACATTTCACATGTCAAAGTTAACGTAAAATTTTTACCTGATGACCTG